TGGGACCAGGCTATTTGAAGGACCACCTCTCCTATTACATCCACCTGGCCCATAAGGACAGGAGGTCATGGTATGTTGTGGGTCCCATCTATTAGGGTTCTACACTTGATGGGACTATGAAAAAGGGATGTCTCAATGGTGGCCCCTTCTCTTTGGAACATCATCCCCCCTGAGACATAACTGCCCCCCATCCTAAACTTTTTCTGAAAGGCCCTCAAGGCATGATTTTATCAGTGGGCTGGGGGACCACAAATGGAGATGGAGCCAATCGTGTGGTTGAGTGGGTGGGGTAGGATGGGTTTTTATGTTGTGAATTTTTAATGCTGTAAAGAGTCACCCTATGTGTGACTTGGGAGGCCATATAAATTTGTTAAATGAATGAATGAATGAATGAATGAATACTATGAAAAAAACACAAAAGCACACATTTGCTTTTTAACACATTTGGATTGAATTGTAAGCGGTTGGAATATGTCAAATTAGATAGAAGCCAGGGCATGGGGTTTCAAACAAAGATCCTTTAAAATATGATGCCCTGTTTTGGGGCACATCTCCTAAGGTGTGCAACAAACCAGAGTATTTGAGAAACACATTAGAAACAAAGGTGCCCTGAAGCTTAGCGTTAAAATACAGTGGATTTGGAACTGTATCGAATTATCACATTCCCTCTGGATTTTGGCAAAATGCAATTCATCTCCTTATAAGAATATGAAGCCATTTGTCTTTTACCAATCACATCTTAGGAAGTGTGGTGTTTCATCTTCATTAGCATCAACTTTCCAATCCACAAACACATGTACAAAATGCCACTTAAAATGCCAACTCCACAAATTGAAAACTACTTTAAAGAACACTATTTTAGCACACCATCAGACATGTAAAAAATAATCTGGGGATTATTTCTCCTTCTTCAGGCTGTAGGCAGAGTTTGCCTGCAAATACTTCTCCTTCTTCCACTTTTCTCCTTTTCCTCTTCCTCCCTACTATATTTTATTCAGTTTTATATCACGGTAGATATTGTATATCACTTCACTGTAACTTACCTCATTTTATTGTGTTTTACTGTGGCTGATGCTCATGTTTGATATGGTCTATTCTGTCTTTTGCTTCACTTGCTGAATATAAAGACAGATAGAATAACTCTACAAATTCTTCCATACAAAGTTTCTTTTATTGGATTATATTAGGTATCCTTAAGGTAACTCACAGTTATGTCAAGATGCATCTAATGTCCAATTCTTTGCATAGTTGAAATCGTAATGTAAATGATAGTAATCTTTCTATCCCATATTTCATCCCATAGTCGTAGAGGCAGGGGGTAGAGCTGCTACCACAAGACTGTATTCAGGAAAGAGTGAAGAAACCTCCCCAACCCACCAAGGGTCAATTCAGTGACCAAGCGGGTTACAGATGTGACCACATGACATGTACTACATTTCCCAGGATACCTTAACTACATTTACCATGATGCATTCCCTTAAGGGGACAGCTTTCAATACCTAACTAACTATCCCAAATCTCATTAACTCTAAACTGTCTGGACAGCACATGGTCAATTGATTGATCAATAAAGCATATTATATTGTATCCAACGTATAAAGATCTCTTTTATTTAAACTGAACTTTGAAAAAAAACATAACTTGCTTGCCTAATTTTGTATTTCAAAATTGCTTTAAAACTAAGAAGATACAACACTGATAGCATCATCATATAAAGGAGTCCTAGTGTCTCTCCTTTTTTGCAAGTCATCTCCCAAAGGCAAATGTTTGTTAGAGAAAGGAGAGGAAAGAAAGCATTTCTCAGGCATGAAATCCCTATCCCATACCTATACCTGCAGAGTTCCAAATGTCGTTGTGATGAAAACATCCATTGATCTTTTAAAGAGCTATTTCTTCCCCCCCAAAAAGCATGCAGGCTGCCACTATGATTGGTCTAGTTCTAATTACCAGCTTCCAGATATTCCTGTGAATGGCTAAAGTAAATCCTAAGGTCTGCATCTATTCGCAAAATCAGGATGTCAGTACAATGTCAGCACAAAGTCCATCAGCAAAATTGAGAAACTAGAGCTTGTCAGGGTATGAGAATGAGGTTCTGAAACCAAGTGAAGTAACTTAAAACAAACTACTACTAAAACTAAAATCTTATGGTATCTCTGGACAACTGCATAACTGGATGGAAGCATTCCTGTCAAACAGACAACAAATGGTCAAAATTGGGAGTGTCCTATCAAATTCTGTACCTGTCAACAGTGGTGTCCCCCAAGGCAGTGTTTTAGGACCAACTCTCTTCATACTCTACACAAATGACCTCTGTGATCATATTAAGAGCAACTGCATTCTCTTCGCTGATGATGTAGAGCTATTCAACATCACAGACAATACTACTACCCTCCAAAAAGACCTTGGCTATCTATCAGAATGTTCAATCAAATGGCAACTTCAAATCTCAACAAATAAATGCTCTGTCTTACATATTGGCAAAAAAAATCAGAAAATAAAATACAAGCTGAATAGTCAAGACCTTGTTGAGGATCCAAACTCTGTCAAGGACCTTGGAGTACTCATCTCTAATGATCTAAGTGCTAGAGCCCACTGTAACTACATAGCCAAAAAGGCATTAAGAGTTGTTAATCTAATCCTACGTAGCTTCTTCTCTGGTAATATCACACGACTAACTACAGCATACAAAATATTTGCTAGACCTATACTTGAATACAGCTCATCAGTCTGGAACCATATCATGTATCTGATATTAATACAATTGAGAAAGTCCAGAAATATTTCACAAGAAGAGTTCTCCGCTCCTCTACACATTGCAGAATACCTTATGCCACCAGACTTGAAACTCTAGACCTAGAAAACCTAGAACTACGCTGCCTTCGGTCCAATTTAAATATAGTATATAAAATCATACATTGCAATGTCCTACCTGCAAATGAATACTTCAACTTCAATCATAACAATACAAGAGCACACAATAGATACAAACTCAAGGTTAACTGCATCAAACTTGACTGCAGAAAATATGACTTCAGCAACAGTGGTCAATGTTTGGAATACTCTACCTGACTGTGGTTTCCTCCCCAACCCAAAACTTTAACCTTAGACTATCTACTACTGACCTCACCCCTTTCCTAAGAGGTCTGTAGGGGGTGTGCATAAGCGCACCAATCATGCCTACCGTCCCAGTCCTATTGTTTCTTTTTATTTTTCTTATACGTATCCAACTCATGTATTCAAAACTATGTTTATACTTATACCTGTTATCTTGTAAGCGATTGACAAATCAAATAAATAAATAAAAATTCAAAGGGCACATTCAGAAGTCCAATGGTGTGACCGAGCACATCTCAAAAACATTTAATAATAACTTCTGGGGGGAAAAGCATACTAGTCTATGCATTTGATTTAGTGCTTCAAAGAGGGAGTTATTTATTTATATTTCCTATTTCTAAACCACCCACCTCCCTCAGACACTTTGCAAAATGTGTACTTTGTACATCCCTATTTCTTCAACTACTTTAGCCACACCATTGAGTTGGTTTCCATAGTAACAAATTAGCGTTTTGCCTCTCCAACATCATTGCCAGAATCTGACATTCAAACATCTTTAGATTTGAGATTGTTTCTGACCAGGCATGAGGTGTTTTTGATTCAAATGTAAACTCCCCAAATTTTCAGCATTTTGAGCTCCCCACAAACCATCCAAATCTGTCATCTTTTGCATCCTACCCCTCTCTTGCAAAGGTACTTAGAATCGTTCTTATTCAACAATCATTTTCTCTTCCCAATCTGCAACATGTTGTTTATATTCATGACTAACCAAACTTCTACTAATTCACCTTACCACACAATCCTTCCCCCTCCAAATTTAGGAAAATGCCATTTCCTACAGTATTTTATTTTCACATGTTAGGATAAGTTCAGTCAACATATTGGTAGTTGCCACGCTACACACATTATTTTATATTCTGTACAAGCGTTTGTTATACCATGTAAAAAAAATCTCTTTGCACCTTTTCGTGGCCATGCATGAATTTTTGTGTGATTATAAAATTATGGATTCAGTCAAAGAATGTTTCTTTGATTATCGCTACTAGATCTCTAGTGTAAAAATCCTAGATTACTAGGTAGAAGCAAAGACAATCATATTTCATGCAGATTGCCTACTTCTTAATTTAATTTGTTACCTGGAAGGTACCATGTCTTGTGTAATTTCCTCCCTGAAGTCTGGTTCTGAAGATTTTTTTTTTGTGGTCCTGCTACAATGATTCTGCAAGCCAATATTCTTTTTAGAAATTGGCACCAGTTAGAAATGGGACAGAATTTTCATTAAGTCTTTATTTGAGCCAACCAAATATACCTTATACATCTTAGATTAACATGTGTTAATCTGAAAAATTGTGTTTTAAAATGGATGCTTTTCTAACATTACATTACTGTAATTCTTAGATAAAAGTACATTAAAAATTCATACACTAAGGCAAGGGTCTTCAAACTTGGCAAGTTTAAGACTTGTGGACTTTAACTCCCAGAATTCCTGAGCTAACATGACTGGAGGAAGAATTCTAGGAGTTGAAGTCCATAAGTCTTAAAGCTGTCAAGTTTGAAGACCCTGAACTAAGGGTAATCATGTATTAGAATACAAAGGAAAATGGTGTAGACATTTAATTTATATGGATGTTTTTAACTGACAGCCTGATTAGGTAATTGGAGATAATATTGATTTTATGACAGGATGTCTTTGAAACTGAGCTGAATCGGAGACAGAGTGATTCAGTCATCCTTGCTTCCAATTCATTTATTGTTTTAATTTAAAATATTTAGAACCAAGTAATTACATTGTGCCCTATTATATCGTAATAGGTTGACTTCACATATAATTCTACTATAACGATCTACTTACTATATGCTTAGAATCAATACCAGTTGTGAGTCCTCTTCATGCAGTTCCAGTGTACTATTTTCAGATATATCAAAAAATTATATGTTTCTTTATATTATAATAATTTCACAGCCAAAATTGTCCTTTTATTTTTCTTTTAATGTCTTAGTCACATTAAAGTTGAACATATTAGGAAAAAAAATAAATATTTAAATTATCAAATTTAAGTGCCACCACCTGCATTTCATTATCAAGTCTCTAGGTTATTTCTAAAATATATAAAAAATTTAGAAAATCATATAGCTGCCAAAAGTAGATTTCCGATGCAGAAAAGTCCACAATAACTACATATGAATTTCAATGCCTGCTGGTGTTCCAGAAGTTGAAAATAATACACTTCTCCTTGTACAAACGATTAAACATTTCCTTGCTTCAGATCCAGAGATTATCTTGATCAACCACAAAATTAGTTTTCTGTATCAACTTCTCCCTATAAAAAACCATTTCTGGTATTCTGAATTGGAACATGGCCGTAACAAAGGTGCTGGATATCCATTTTCTACATCAGATTCAGCTTGTAGACACTTCTGGGTCTGCTTATGTATTAAAACTCCATCCTATAAAACAATAAATAGTTTTTTATAATGTCTGGTAAAGACAAAGTAACCACAGTAAGAGTTAAATTCACATTTTAAACTTGATTAACTTCAAGAAAAGACAAGTGACAAAGAACAGAATTGCTGCTAGATAATTAACATAACATTAACAAGACATTAACAAAAACTATTGTGAGTACATGTTCATGTACTTTGATTTACTAATTAACATCATGTTAATTCTTTTGTATAAAGAGTTGTAAGTAGCTAATAGTGATCTGGATTAACATATATCCGTAGATGACAATGACACCATTATACAAAGGAGAGAATCATATAGGTCAGCATTAGCTACAATTAATTTTGACCAAAGAAGACCGTATATGCTGCTCTGTAGGAAATCTGCTTCATGTATCCTGTTTGTATACATAGACTTCATTTTTATAGGTGAATTTGCAAGTGTGCAGGGGGATTCTATTGTATCTTCCAAAAGTTCAACCAGAGGTGTCTCCAGAGATGCTTCATCAAAATGATGAAAGTAGAGGCATGCTGTAAGTTCTGTAGTTTTCATACATGCAGGTAATGTCAGAACACATGTTCAGAACACATGTACAAAAAAGAGAACTTCTGTCACAATAGCACAATACTATTGTCATTTGCCTCAATCCTTGGCAGATGCCCCTGTTTCCAGCTCCCATGCAATATTATAATGAGTAATCACTGGACAAGATGGGAGGCTCATAATCAATCAATCAATCAATTAATCAATCAATACTGATCTCTTAGAAGGATCTAGCATTCTTTGATCATGAAATGCAACTTCTCTAAAAGGAAAAAGTCATCAACACTATTCCTTTTTTATTATTAATCTCAGACAGCATTTAGGAGTAGGTTACAATAACCTTAGATTTGGAGATGCAATTCAGAGGTATGAACATTCACTCATTTGGTTAAGTGCTACATTTTGCAATATTTTTGCCTGAAATGTATAAAACTGTCAATATAAGCTCACAGTGACTACAGGTTGTCAAAACTGCACATGCCTTTCTTGGCTACATCCCAAGAATATATAATTTATCAAGGCATCAAGAATTGCTAAGAGTAATTAAAGTAAGAATTACAACTGGAAGGGGGATTCGCAATATCTGAAGTAGGACATTTGGACATGGGCAAGAAAGCAAATTTTCAAGCAATTGAACATTTAATCTTTTTTTAAAGCAGTTGCTTACATATTTATCTTCCTCTTTTTTCTTTTCCTTTAAAAAGTCATTGTTACAAATAATGCTAGAAATTGCTAGCTCAGCAATTTAATCTATATGGTCTGGTAATGATCTTGTTATTTTTCATTGATATTGCTGTCATTATTATTTTAGGGAATTTAATAAAGAAAAAGAAAAACAGTATTTTTAAAAACAGAAATGTCTGTTCTGCTTTTTTAAGTAGAAATATCAATGATTGCAGGAAAGGTAGGAAAAGAGGATGAAGGAATATACGGCATTGGCAGGAGTACCATTTTAGTATAAACAAAAAGTATCATTCATTACAAACCTCTAATGTTTTAATAACCCATTCCCATTGTAGCCTAATGTTTGTTAACAAATTTGACTATTCTTACCTCTCTAAGAATAAATTTCTGATTTTCAGGAATATTTTGGATACTATCTTCACATAAGTACATTTTCAAAATATCAGTTCCTGGATCAACAGCTGCACAGACTTCTGGTTGACGGGTATTATAACGTATTTCATTGTGGGAGGTGTACTCAAAAAACTGTTATTCCCAAAATAAAAAGATAAGTAGATCTCTATTAAATTTCAAGTATGCATTTCTATGATCAAAAGCATTGTGAAGAGAAGGATAGTAAAAATTTAAAAAGCCATCTCTAGACCAAATCTGAAATTCTTCCGATTATAATTACCATGACATTTATATACTTACTTGGAGATTTTATACGACCATCTATATTATTAAAAATAATCCTTGATGGGTAACAAATATTGAAAACATGAGATTAAAACTTCAACAAATGATCAGCATCATAACACCCCTCTCTCCAAAATTACCAAAAAAGCTGGGCTCACCTCTCATCCTTAGGGAAGAGCAGGTCTTACTGGCTTATTGGTAGAGAAAAGACTTACAGTATCTCCTGAATCCCACCAGATAACAACACTAAACTGAAAGGACTGGGGTAAGCCTGCTTTATCTAATTTAGAGGGACAGGTAAATGTCCTCAGAGAGAGGCAATCTCACAAATAACCTAGCCTTGAGCCATACAAGGTTTTAACTGTGACAACCAGTTCCTTGCATCTGTAAAGAAATTAGGAGTCAGTGCAAGACTGAGGAGTAGTGGTGTAACATGGATAAATTCATGGGCCACCCAGAATATATGTGTTACTGCATTCTGGATCCGTTGAAATTTCCAAGCAATCTTCAAGGGCAGCCTCATGAACAGTGCACTGCAGTAATCCAAACAAGAAGTGACTAGGTCATGAGTCATAATAATCAGCCCCTCCCCACCAATCCAGGAATGGGTGGCACTGGTGCACAAGATGATTTTATGCAAAGGGTCTCCTAGCCATAGCCATCTTCTTTGAAAAGGTGTTAGTCTGGGAGAACCCCCCAAGTTACACAATAACATTTGGAGAATGCATCCGATAGAGTTAAAGATGACCCCGCATCCCAAAACAACTCCCCCTTATTAGGTTTTCTGTACCAGCACTGGGTCAGATTCGTGGTTGCCACGAATTTCCACACTACCCAACGAAGGCAGGATGAATTCTCCCAAAACTATCAGTCAAGGGAACTCCATTACTATTTCAACCATCCAATGAAGTGCAGGCAGAGAAGCCACTACACCACAACAAGGGAGGGAAGTAAACAGAAGCCCCTAACTGGGCTTCTTAGAGGCCAATTTCATAAACAAGACCTCATAACCTCTTATGTTTGAGGCAGCACCACTAAAGGAAACTCCCAGATGGCAAAAAACACACCCATGTCTTTATCTTCAAGTATTTTAAAAATTATTTGCTTTAGAAATCCTCTTAAAAATCATATTTCTTTCCGAAACAATTGTTCTGTATTTGTACTCTGACTATCACTGCTATTGTATTGTGAAATGCTGAAACTGTCAGCCTTCTCAAGTGGATCTTAAGGGCAGAATTTAAAAGGAGCTGATCAAGTTCACTAAGAAGAACCTTAGTCCAACTTCCCAATACATATGCACACCCATATTCCTTGAACTTCTGTTTAATTCTGCAAAGAATTACAAAGCAAGACTAGGTTTAATATGGGTGGTTATGCTCAAAACTGAAAAGTTTTGGTACAGTTACATTAGAAGAAATAACAGGACCGTGCATGTAGAAGGAGAAAAACTATTATCTGACACTTGAATAGAAATGCCTTACCTGATTTTGTCCCATGCCATGACATGGATATAATATGACTTTGTGTCCCGTTATTTCATGCTCACTGGGAGGATTGTAATCAAAGCAATAATTTAGCATTCCTCTATTCTTCAGCTAAAAGGCAACAAAAGGCCATTAAAACATATCATTTTAATCCAAACACTCCACCAGTTATTTTGTGTGTGTGTGTGTGTATAAGATAGATAGATAGATAGATAGATAGATAGATAGATAGATAGATAGA